AGGCATTACTTTTGAAGAACAACGTATGCATGCCAAGACATGAAATGAGGCTCACAGACTCAGCAGTAAGTACAACAGGGGATCCTGACACAAAAAGCCAAAGCAACTGCTGGGTGGATAGTCTTACACATTGTCAGTTTAGTAAGGTCATGTAGAAATACATGAAGGATCAGCAAGATTAAATACACAGCAAAACAAACACAGGGCAATGCAAATACAGGGGAAGATGAATTTGCTATTAATACACACTCTGAAAAGCTCTTGATATGGCAAATCACGGACACTCCATTAATAGCATTTTGTTATTTCAGTGGATGAAGAGGTGCTCATAACCTCAGTGTTTTTAGGCAGAGCACCACTGTCCTACCACAGGCACCCAGTGCCACTTCTATAGGCTCCAGTTACCTGTTACCTACTACTTGTTACCTGAGAAAAGAGGTGGGCACCCTCCTTGATATAATCTTCTTTCAGGTAGTTGTACAGAACAGTGAGACCTCCTCTCAGTTCCTTTTTCTCCATATTAAACAACCTCTAACAACCTTTCCCTGGCAACTCCTATATGTGAATTTCCGATGCAGGCCAGGAAGTTGTTCATTTTGACTGAGTGCACCCCCAGGTCCTGTCCTGCCAGGCACCTTTCCAGCCACTCTTCCCCAAGCCCTTACAACTTCATGGGGTTGTTTTTGTCCAAGTGCAGCAACCAGCACTTAACTCTTGCTGATTGGACTTGGCCAACTGATGCAACCTATCCAGATCCCTCTGCCTTCCTTACCTTTAGGCAGATCAGTAGGTCCACCTAACTTGGTATTGTCTGCAAACTTAATAAAAGAGCGCACTCATTACCCTCATCCACACCGATAAAAACATCAAAGAAAACTGGTCCCAAAACTTAGCCCTTCTGGCACAGAGAATCACACTAGGAGATATTGACATCCTAATGAAGAAAATCAGAGAGAAAAGCTTCCATGAAATGCTCTATTTCTGGATAGCCAAATTTTCCCTTATATCATCACACCTTACCTTTCCACAGCAGCATACATATATATATGTAGGTACATACAGTTATAGGTAAATGTACTCCAGTCACTTAACAAAGCACCTTTCCCACCAGCACTCTCAAGGGGGAAACTCATCTGAGGAGTTTCTGTATTTCTACTGTCTTTGTATTGGGACTTTTTTTTTTCCCCCTTTGTTGTCTTCCTTGTGCTGACAAAGTATTTCAACAAGTCCTTCTGGCTGCCCTGCCCATCTCTGGATAGTTCCCTCGCAGCTCAGCGTTGGCATTAGTGGCTCCATTCCTGCACCAACAGGCCAAGTCTCCATCTGTTTCCAGGGCAGACTGTTCCCTTTCTGCACACTCTGCACTTCCTTCTGCTGTTTTAAATCCTCATTCAGGGGTCCTTGTTCATCCATGACAATCTCCTGCCAGGCCATGCTGGAGTCCCTTCATGTCAGACAGGCAAGTTTCTTCCAAGATAGACCCACTGAAATCTTGCCTTCCTGGACAGTCCAACTTCATATTCAGCTAAATGAAATCAACACTCCTGCAGGCAGCTGTGATCATGAGGTTACTCCATGCTAGCTGTGCTGCACAGCATGAGAAGTATACCCAACTGGATTGCAACCACAAATACTAATCTCCTTCACAGGGTTTGACGGTCATTACAAGTGCTTTAAAAGGGTAGGGAATCTTTCTAGGGATAATGCAAGTTTCCAGGCATATTTCTGACTGCAGCTGGAGGTCTCCTTCCCTGGGAATGACAGTAAACGCTCTCCACTCTATGAATCCCAAAGGAATGAGAGTCCTTCTTGCCCTGTGGATACCTTAATATGAGTGAAACCACCTGGACTGATCTCTCACTTTGTGGACTTCCAGTCACTGCCCACCCTTGGCAGACAATACCCATGGAGAACTCCTGGAAGCTCCAGACAACTCCATATTCCTTCCCTGGAGGATATCCTCTGCCCTGCCACACGTGGGACTGCCACGAGGATGTACCTTAGTGACCATTCACCATCTCTGCTATTATTGGACAGCAACAGATTACTCCTAAATCCTACCTTCAGTGTCTCACAGCACACAGTACTGTGATGAGCTTTTTCTCTTCCAAATCCTTGGAGCAACAAACTTCCTGTGGTGCAGCAGCTCAGCCCTGTTCTTGGTACCAGCTCTGTAAAGGAGAGCCAAGTCTTCAGGCAGCACATTGTGGGGATCCGATTTAATAAAGCAGATGATAAGAGCACCGACCCAGAGTTTGTCAGAGCTTCAGGAGTTAGCAGAGTAGAAGCTTCCTCAGTAGAAGCAGAATGAATGCAAACATTTCTCTAATAACATAGTATATGCTAATGGCAATAAAGATAGGCAATAACTAATGTAATAAAGGGATGAAATAAGGATGAGGTCTGCCAGGGGATAAGTACTAAATCATTTGTGGAGGGAGAGGATAAATTTATCTCTATTAAGAAACATCTGTAAAATCACATTCTGAAGAGCACCTTTGAGCTCCTGTTTCCTCATGCTGTCTGTGAGGGGCTTCATTGTTAGAGGCACCACTGAGCACAGAACTACCACCACCAGGTACAGAGATAGAGATGGAGGAGGGCTTAATGTAGGCAAACACAGCAGCGCCGATGAACCACAGCCAGGTGAGGGAGGCTTTGTGTCGTCCACACTCAGAGAACATCTCCAGCACATCACAGAAGATCTGCATAGAGGAGAAAAGAATAAGAAGAGAGCATACAAAGGCTACACAGACACCAGTCATAATAGCCCAAACTCCCCTAAGGCAGGAGTTTGTGCTTACTGCCACAAGCTCTGCTGCTCAGGAAAGTCCCACAGTGTGGAGGCTTGTAGATGGCCACAGCATTCATATGACATGACAATGAGAAGGGAGTACTGTGCTGTAAGCAAGAAGAAAATGAAAAAGACCTGGGCAACACATCCTGCATCAGAAACACCAGAAATGTTCCTGGTGCCCAAGAGAGCATTGGCCATGGCTTCAGGGCAAGTGGAGGAGATGCAGCCCAGGATGAGGAGAAGTCCAGGTGGTGGTCACAGGCCACAGCTGTGATGAAGAGGCTGTAGTCCAGGAGGGCAGCCAGGCAGATGCCCAGGAAGAGCTGGAAGTGCAGGAGCTGCAACTCTTGTGTGTCTGCAAGTGTCAGGAGGGAGAACTCTGTGATGCAGCTGCTGTTGGACCTTTGTCGTCTCTGGACACAATGACCTACGTATGGAAGGAAAAACAGCTTTTTTTTGTGAGGGTGTACTTCTCTGAAAAAAAACTTACCTCCTTTTCATGGAGACCTTTGTAAGCCCTTTGCCTGAGCTCTCGTTGGTGCAAACTGAGGGTACAATAAGGATTGGGAGTTGGTGGGGACTCTGAAGGAGTCCTACTGCACTATGGCAACAGGTAAACAGAATTTCAGTGTGAACTCAGATTGAATTCACTTACAATAAAACGCTCCTCAGCATGGTTACTCCCAATTCACCTGACCAAAGAGCACTGCTTTATGGATATGATTTTATGCATTTCTACTTGCTCCACCACAACTGACAAGTGTTTTTAAAGCTGAAATCTGTGAAATCCGTAGTGCCCATCAAGCAAAAAAAACAAACAAAAACAAACAAACAACAACAACAAAAAAACAGGTGCTGAGAGACAAAGGGAGTGGCATACAGCATAGAGGACAGCTGGTGTATCCATCAGTCTTGGTCTCAGCTGCCCTGTGCTTGCACCTCTGAGGATATGTGAACTCAGGTGTTCCCCTACATGACTCTGGATGCTAATGAGAGCACAGGAATCCAGGTTCAAGGTGCAGAACTCTAAATTTTCACGTACCTGAAGAAGATCTCAGTGCCCCTTTTCTTGCCAGATATACAGAAGTGTCACTGCAGTTGCCCACATACAGCTATCCAGCAGCATTTCCATCTCATTAGCACTTAGACGTCTTCTCCATCAGGATGCTACATTGCAGAGCTTTTACAGCAGAGCTGTGTCCTTGTGCAGGGCGGCCTACAGCATGGTACAGCACACCAGGGAGAGTGTCAAGTGCCCTGAAAATGTGCTGTCCTGGCATGAATCAGCCGACTCCTCATCCCAAACACAACATTTAACAGAGCCCAAACTGACATAGGATGCTTTTCCTCCATTGACGTATCTGCGTGACGGAATCTGCAATATCACTGCCTGAACTGCAGCTGAATGCTGATGAATTCAAAGGCACATTGTAAGATTCCAAAGATGTTGACGGAGATCTATGCTGAAGATGGACAGCAGACCACAGGGTTGCTTTGGGGGAAAGATATGCACTGCAGTTATGGCATGGAGGTGCCCATATCCTCAGCCCCATGGTATTTCCAGGGGTAGCTCCCTCTCCCTGATTATGTCTCTGCTGCCTGCACTTGTCCCTGTCTCTATCTCCGTCCCCACAAGCCCTCCCTGCTGTAGACTCACAGCTGCTGTAGACTCAGCTCTGCCTTGCAGACCCCTCTTGGCAGCAGGGCACTGCCCAAGGCTATTTCAATGTGGTCAGGTGCTAAGGGCCATGTGGCACAGGCCCTGGTGACACTGGACATGCAATGATAGTGCTTTCGATTGGCAGAGGGGCAGAAAGGAACTCGCTGGGGGAGCGTAAGGCTTAGGATTTTCAGTGTTTTCTTGGATGTTACAGCCTCTATTTTCACTACTTCTGAGGCAAAGAAAACAGAAAGGAGAGACTCAGGAAAGGCAGACTTGAAGCAGTTAACCCCTGCATATGACTCTCATGGTGCAAAGCCCCACCAAAAATACACTGGGGTCCTGTGTAACAGAGAATTCCCTACTCTGTGCAGCAGCCTTTGGCTGCAGAAGGCTCCCGCCCAGCCTGAGGGGCTCCTTACCCACACACTTCTCCCACAGTCCCCTGGACAGGCTGAGTGCTGAGCCTGGCAGGCATCCTATGAACTCCATTCCAGCCAGATCAAGAACAACTGCGCTTGCTCAGAGGAGGTGTGGCCATATGGGTGCAGAGAGGGGAGAAAAAGACAAAAGTGAGGACCAGAAACTGAAAGGGCACAGAGGGAAATTCCCTGTTGTTTTAAGGGGAAAATCATCACCACGACTGGGTGTCAGTGCTGGGTCAGGAGAAACTGCTGATCGACCTGATCTCAGTGTCAAGTTGTTCCTGTTCAGGGCAAACGATGGTTCTCCAGAGGACCCTTCTGATACAAAATCCTGTCAGAGCAACACTGCTGCACATGAGGCATCGCTGGCCTCTGCCTGACCCTCTCCTCAGGACTGCACACTGAACGTGTTCACTGTCGAAAGGAGATTCTTCTTTATGGGCTGAGGGACATCGCTGAGAATGGGGATACAAATGAAAACTGTCAAGCATGGTCTTTCTCACACTCAGGACACTTGTAGTGCTTGTCTCCTGTGGGGATGTGTAGGTGGGAGAGCAGCAGGGAACTCCTCTTGTAGCCCTTCCCACACTCATCACATATATAGAGTTTGCCTCCTGTGGGGATGTGCTGGTGGGAGCTGAGGTCAGAATTGCTCCTGAGGCTCTCCTCACGCTCACAGCATTTGTAGGCTTTCTGTGCTCTGTGGGTACGCTGGTGAATCACGACTTGGGAACTGCTTCTGAAGGCTTTTGCACACTCGGGGCACTTGTAGCGTTTTTCTCCTGTGTGGATGCGTTGGTGGACCATGAGTTGAGACTTGCTTTTGAA